TTTTACATCCACAATTATATTCTAAATTAACATTAGAAAAATAAATAACCTCACTTTCCGTATAAACGTCAAAGAACACAGTGTATGTTTGGTTGCATATGCACCTGGCTGACTTAAACATATATAATATTAAATAAAATAAAATAAAAAACCTCTTATTAATTCTTATGCTAAATTCTTAAAAATACCCTCATATAATTATTTCTTAATAATATTATCTAGTATATAACTTATAATATATGTCTTTAATTACTATTTAAATAAATTTATTAATTAACATTGTATATCTGGTTGTATCTACACATCGCTGAGTTAAATATATTGCTATGTTAATATGTTAATTTATTGCATTTCTGCTCTCACTACAATATATATATATATATATATATATATATATATATATATATATATATATATATATATATATATATACACCTTTAGACGTTCGCTTCGTGCTAAATCACCTCGGTCATAATTATTATGTGTGACGTCGTATATGTGACGTATTTCAGTGACATTTTTTAATTTCGCATTAAGTAAAAAATGATTGACCACAATAAAGCAAAAATGTGAATAAAATAAATTAATTAATAGTGATTATTTAATCTAAAGTTTTAAATTATTAACCAAGAATAATTTCTACTATAATTTGAGGAGTTTCATACACTCTTGTCACGGAAATAAACATCAGTCCTTCGTGGATTAGTGGTAAGAAATCGACACTGCGACGCAGACGATTAGAGTTCAAAACCCACATGTGGTCGTTCTGATTTGAATCACTAAACATTTATGTCAGTCGTTACTAGTATTAGAAGTGTTAAAAGTTAAACATAAATATCTTTTTGAATTTGAATTATTTTGTATTTCCGTTTTATAACATTTGAATAAGAATAAATTGTAAATAATGAGTTTTTCGAAAACTTGATACCTAATATGTATCATATTTTCTATTATTTTTTGATTAAGTAAAACAAAAATTTTATCCTTGGTGCGAATTGAACCCCAATCTTCTTGTCAATAGACTACGTGTCTAAGTATTACACCAACTCCACATACAATAACTGTTTTCGGACAGAACATACCTACCTTTAGTTTAGTCAAATATTTCAGTTGAGTTATTTTTATTATTAAATAAACTTAAAAATTTATAATTTAAAATCGCTCCTAATTAATGTTTTTTACTTTAATTCTTAATTTATTTAATCATTTATTCTTACATCAGAAATTATTAAAATAAAATATTTTCGCGGTCATCCGTATAATTATGACTGAAGTCAAATAGCCACGTCTAAGAACTAGCTTTATCTCATTCTTTCTCACAAAATCCATCTTCTATCTTTTCCGCTATTTTGCCGGGTTTTAAAGCGACTTAAACACTTCTAATACTATAATAACGTCTAAAGGTGTGAAACTATCGACGGTGGTAATGTAATGTAAATTATAGGTTTCTATGGATTATTTCCCACCTTTACGAGTTTTTATCTCTTTTTATTTCACAAGGTAACTGTGTTTTCTATCTCTTACGTTAAAAAGCCGGGTGGTAAAGCACTCATCACTGTATATCTGTATATATATATATATATATATATATATATATATATATATATATATATATATATATATATATATAATAAAGTTTTATTTTGAGGATGCAGTCATTTAAGTAGGGCAGGATAAGTAAAACTCTTTGTTCTTAAATCAAGCTTTCGCAAAAGTTATTTGCTTCATCAGGATATGCTAAAATATGTTATGGTAAATACAATGAAATTAGAATTAAAAAACATTGTATAAAACTATATAAAAACTTACAACATGAGGTTAAACCATTAAATTATTAAATTCACAAAACATTATTAATTTTTCTAAATTATATTTTTATGCAAGTACAATATTTTAATTTTGAATATATTATGACATTGATTAATAATGATGTTTGATTTATGTCAGAAAGACACTCGTGTCTGTTTTTATTATTGATAATTAGCTCTAGATTGTTATTATGCTTACGTAAAAAGTGGCGCCAAATATGAATATTTAAATTTTTGAAAATATAGTATTTATAGTCAGAAAATCATATATTAGAAAATTAAAGTATTAATTTTCGTAAGATAGAATGTAATTATAGATATTGCTGAGTTTGTTAATATCAGTTTTTTTATTAACGCATTGATATTTATTTATGCATACCATTTCTAAAAATTCTCTTTTATTTAATTGGTTTTCACGTCTTAATATATTAGTTTCATTAAAATTAAATGAATGATTTAAAATATAAAATCCTAAATATTACATAAAATTACAAAACAATCCCAGAGTACCTTGCAACAGAAAGCTAACAAAATAGTTACCGAATTGAAAAATAAAAAAATGATCACTAAAGAAGAAGCCTCAACTCTCACTATATATAACTCTGTCACACCACGCTTTTATGCACAACCAAAAGTACATAAACCTAACTTAACAATGAGACCAATTGTATTATCAATTAATTCACCAAACAGTAAGTTAGCAAAATTTTTGAATGATATTCTTACAAGGTCATATAACTTAAATAATAGTTTCTCTATATAAGATTCCTTTAAACTAAGTAATTTTATCAATAACTATCAACTACCAAATAATTATATATTCTAATGTATTGATTTTTGATAATGCATTCTATAAACAAATTTTTGGCACACCTATGAGCTCAAGTATATCTTGTATATTATGTAATTATGTACTAGACGATTTAATAAGAGATTCTTTAAATAAATTGCCTTTTCATATCCCGTTTATCAAACGTTTTGTGGATGACTTAATACTTGCTTTACCTGCAGACAAAATAAATGAAACTTTACAAACTTTTAATAATTATAGTGAACATTTACAATTTACATGTGAAAAAGAGATAGATAATAGCATCCCATACATTGCCATAAGAATCAAACGAAATGCACAAAATATATTAAGCACTGCATGGTACAGAAAACCTATAGTTAGTAACAGATTTATTAATTATCATTCCCAACATCCACCTCATATGAAAATAAATTTAATATTGGCTTTAAAAAACAGAATAGTAAAATTATCACACACCAATAACATCAACAAAGGGTTAATAGAACTGAAAGACATTTTATTAGAGAATTCATATACAATTAAACTAATTAACAAATTTTTATTTAACAATCCTAATAATAGAATCATTGACATGAATCAAACAATAGAACCAAATCAACAAATCATGCAATCTCAATTTACTTTCACATCACTACCTTACATACCAACATTAACAACCAAATTAACTAAAGTCTTTGCTAACTATTCTCATATTAAAATTGCAACTAAAAATGTTAAAACATTAGCATCATTATATACAAAAACTAAATCACCTATTAGCATTATGGAAAGCTCAAATGTAGTTTATAGAATACCATGCCAAAATTGTGATAAGTCATACATCGGACACATCTAGAAATCTAATAGGTAGACTAACATCACATAAAAGTGACCTCAGAAATAATAAAAATACGTGTGCATTAATAGATCATGCAATTAATAATAATCATTCATTTAATTTTAATGAAACTAATATATTAAGACGTGAAAACCAATTAAATAAAACCGAATTTTTAGAAATGGTATGCATAAATAAATATCAATGCGTTAATAAAAAAACTGATATTAACAAACTCAGCAATACCTATAATTACATTCTATCTTACGAAAATTAATACTTTAATTTTCTAATATATGATTTTCTGACTATAAATACTATATTTTCAAAAATTTAAATATTCATATTTGGCGCCACTTTTTACGTAAGCATAATAACAATCTAGAGCTAATTATCAATAATAAAAACAGACGAGTGAGTATGATTAAAAATTCATTAGGAGTTTTTATTCATTCATTCATTTTTAATCATACTATTTTTATTTTTGTTTTTTTTTTTATTCTCTATGGGTTAGTTAAAACACACCAAGAAGATGTAGAAAACAAACTTTTTAGAACTTTTATTATGTTTAACTAAATTTTAAAATGTATTGTATTAATTATTGTATAAGTTTTAGTGTATATGTTTGTTATTAATGTTGAGTGTCATAGCTTCGTACAAATAATCTCAACGACTAGTAAGTACACTGACATTTTGTGATATATTGTAAATATTTACACATTTTTCTAATTACAGTGTCTTGATAAAGGAATTAAACAATTCCGAAAGCTAGACCAAAAGTCAAAAGAGTGTTTCTGTAACATCCCGGCCAAACTTCTGACTGCAGCCCCAATAAACTTTGTTGTTTGTTTAAATTGACAGTCACGAATATCCAGTATTCATTATATATATATATATATATATATATATATATATATATATATATATATATATATATATTTTTTTTTTTTGTGGCTTTAACACTTAGCTATTTAGCCAATTACGTATAGAAAAATAATAAAAGAAAAATTAATAATATCAATATTCCAATACAATTAAAAGGAATTAATTAAAGTAAAGACACAAAGGTGTCTTGATAAAGGAATTAAACAATTCCGAAAGCTAGACCAAAAGTCAAAAGAGTGTTTCTGTAACATCCCGGCCAAACTTCTGACTGCAGCCCCAATAAACTTTGTTGTTTGTTTAAATTGACAGTCACGAATATCCAGTATTCATTTTTTTTTGTGGCTTTAACACTTAGCTATTTAGCCAATTACGTATAGAAAAATAATAAAAGAAAAATTAATAATATCAATATTCCAATATAATTAATACTAAAAAAAAATAAAAAAAATAAAATGTATGCATACACATAAGTACATACATAAGTGTACATATACAAGTGTATACATACATAAGTGTATATCGTCTTTAATTTCACCGCAATTTATACACTTTTCTTGAGCGCTGTTACATTGTTTAGATACGTGCCCATATCTTAAACATTTGTAATAATATATAATAGTTTTGTATTCATAAATAATTATATTAACAAAATATTAACACAAATGAATAATTTTAGACGGAAAATATTTTGGAGTGTTTGGCAATATGTGAGATGTATAAGGAACAGTTAGTTGAACATGCAGCTCTTCAAGCAGCTTCAAGTCAGACGTTGTCTCTACCTGTTCCCCCACCTTTGATGTTAGCACTACATGCTTCAACGCCAGGTGATTTTTTTCTGAAAACAATCAGAAGAACCAGACCTAGGTAAGATATTTTCTAGTTGGTTTAATTTTCTAAATATACTTATATAATCTTAATTCAAACTTCATTCTACCGTTACTTATAATTAACAAATCCCAGAAGAGCGGCAGTAGCTCAAAGAAACTACATTTTTGTCATTTTTTTCTGTAACTAGTAACTTTGCCCATCGCATGCGACGGAGGATCCAATTAATTTTCATCTACAGTCAGTCATTAAATTTTTAAAATAATAAACTTTTTACATATAATCCCAGTAAATATAAAGTATAAAAATACAATTAGCAAAGTTACGTGTTACAAATACTTAAATGTAATGAACTATAAAAATATAATGAATGAAGTGTAAAAATATAATGAACGAAAATAAAGAGCGACAACTGGTTTTAGAATATTTGTAATTGCTGACTCAGTGGGAAAGTGGAAAAAGCTTGGGTGCCGCTGACTCTGCTGGTATTGCATGTGCAAGGATCCTTATCGGCTCAGGTTGTTGGAAGTGGAAACCTGATACCCTGGGAATCGTCGTGATAAGGAACATTCGTTGGTACAATGCATATAACAGCTCCCCCTTTTAGATGAAAGTTGATGCGTGGCAGCAACTTTTAGACTGTCTGTTTATTGGTATTCAGTTGGATCTGCTCTTCTTTGTCTATGGAGTCGCTTAGGTGGATACTGGGTCTTCGTCTTGGAAGAATTTTCCTCCAATTCCTGGTAAAGGCTGTCTCTGGGTGTCTTGGTGGAGAGGTCGGATGGTCATTGTCATTGTTAGTGCCAATTCCTATCCTGTATCTTCTCTTGGATCTGCATTTACATATAACATAAAGAACATTAAGAGTTACAATGACGACTATGGTTAAAATGGTGAACCAGCTCAGATGTTTGTTGACGAATGGTTCATTGATTAGTTTATCGAGTTCTTCAGAATACTGATTGAGTTTGTGATGGGCTATCTCGAGGTCTTCAGTATTGGTCTTACTAAGCTTCAGTGGTTTTAAGTCGGGAAGATGGATCTTTTCTGGGAAGTGTTTGCAGCAATTGAACGGTATTTGGACTTTGTGACTTCTGTAAGTAACATTGTCGTGGACGTCGATCAATTTCTGAGAGTGTACTCTTGTACTACCAATAAAGGCATCGCACGTGGGTTATAGTTTGAGTACTTGGTTTGTGTAAATAATCTCTTATTTGACGTCTCTGAAATCGCATTTGATGGTAATAGGCAGTGGGTCAGAAACTGTTATGAGCCACAGGTATATGTTGATCTTCTGGACTTTGTAATCTTTGGCAAATACTACGGAAGTCTGGCATGTTATGGGAAGGCGTTCTTGTCGTTTCAGAAGTTGGGCTTCGCATATGACATCGCTGTCGATTGGGTATAGAAGTGTGTTGTAACAGCTTGCAAGGTTTTGCATGACTCAAGGCTATTTATTGTAAGGTATAACAATGAATCATCGTTTCGCGCAATGCATTTATGTGTTGTTGTTAATATTGAATGAAGACCTGTTCGATTATCCAGTATTGGTATTGGATAGAGACGATATAAAGTATATTGTTCAGCATCAGTTAAAGGAATATTTAAGACAAACACAATTCTTGTGTCTAGTTGATAGGCTTGTAATTCGATAATATCGAGATATTGAGCTAGATTTGAAGTATAGATTGATAATGGAAGATTTTTTGTAAATGATTGTGATATATGCCTAAGCGATTCAATTAATCAAACGGGGTGATGATTGAGCTATATAATATTTTTAATCGAGCAAAAGTTATGGCATTTACTATTTCATTTAAAGAGTCTTCGATAAATGAATAGCTTTCCATTAGTAATTCAGAAAAGTTTAGCATATCGATTTGAGACTGATAGAATTTTAATTCTTAGGAGATATACATTATTGACTCTCGAATTTCTTTAATATTATTGTTGAATGTTTCCTCATCTATTTGTAATTTCCGGATTGTAGCTTTAAAGTTTTTAATAACAGAAGTGTTAACCGATATTTAATTTTTCAATAAGTTTTCGATTTGATACTCAATAATAATAATATTAATAAACTCTTCTAAAAAACTAGTTGCTCTGTTACAAATTATAAATACTGAAGTCCTACCCAATGTCGTCGTAGAAGCCCATACGCTGGAATATTTGCATATGCTTATTTACTGTGCAGCAACAGCAACAGCTAATATAATGGGAATTAAGATCAGAACACGACGGAGTACCAATGCCGGAAGGACTGATAACAGAGTTGCACCCTGGAAGGAACGGCTTCTAAACAAGATTGAAATACTGCGTAGGGACATTGGTCAAATGACGGAATATATACGAGGAACAACAAGTAGAAAAGTCATTAAAAGAGCTGATCAAATAATTCTAAGCACTGCAAAACACTCGCAATATGATCCAGTAAACATCACAGCCCATCAGTGCCTGGATACAGTAAAACAAAAACTCTCCGTTTATTCAGGACGACTAAGGAGGTACAAGGTTAGTAACAGCCGAAAATGTGACAATGCGCTTTTTGAGCATGCGGAGAAGGCGTTCTATCGGAAACTTAATTCCACTATCGAAAGTGCCAATAAATCATACCCAAGCCAAGAAGACATTCAGGAGTTTTGGGGAAATCAACTTTCCACACCAGCTGCTCTTAACACCAATGCTGGATGGATAGAAGATACGACGCACAGCTGTCAACACTACCGCACAACTGTTTATGAACCCTTCACCACAGAAAAAGTCTCTAATATCATCAAAGAGCTTCATAACTGGAAATCTCCTGGACCAGACGGAGTTCAAAACCTCTGGCTTTAGAAGTTCTGGAGTGCCTGTCAACATTAATTAATCGTGTTATTTCTAATCCGCAGGAAATACCATCATTCCTGACTCAGGGAACAACTTATTTAATACCGAAGAATCAAAATAACACCCAAGATCCAGCCAAATACCGCCCAATTACGTGTCTTCCAACTCTGTATAAATTGGTCACATCCTGTGTAGAACAGCGTATCTACCAACACTGCGCTCTAAACAATATCATAGAACCTCAACAGAAAGGATGCGTAAATGGATCCATGGGTTGCAAAGAACAACTTATTATCGACTCAGTCATTTCTAACCAGGCATACACCAAAAAAAGGAACCCCTTCACTGCCTTTATTGACTATAAGAAAGCCTTTGACTCAGTGCCGCATGAAAATGGCTGGTAAATATATTAAGAATATATAAAGTCGATGATAATATAGTGACCTTCTTAAGACATATAATGACAGATTGGAAGACTAAAATTCACCTCCAAATACCTGGTGAAAACAATATCGAAACGGAAAATCGCAATTAACCGCGGCCTCTTCCAAGGAGACTCGCTAAGTCCCTTGCGGTTATGTCTAGCGATGAACCCACTATACTAAAATGAACTAAAAACTGTAGAAACTTTTTCAAATGATATCAGTATGCACTTTGGGTTAGACAAATGTCGTGTACTAAATATAGTCAAGGGAAAGGTTCAGCCCGGGGGATTCGATATGCAAAATGGCTAAAACATCGAGGCTATGGGCGAAAATGACATGTATAAATATCTAGGAGGAAAGCAAGCGCGGAAAATTGACCATAAACAAATGAAAATCGAATTAACATCAGAGTTCATACGAAGGGTAAAACAGCTACTTCGCTCACATCTTAATAGTAAAAATTTGTTTAAAGCATTAAACACCTACGCATTTTCCGCGCTTAGCTACTCATTTGGCATTATTAAGTGGACTAAACGGATATAGAAAGTCTTCAGAGAAAAGTACGAACACACCTCACAAAGGCACAAAAACACGAAGTGCAATAGAAAGAACGACATTACCACGGTATTTAGGAGGACGAGGACTTATTGATATAAGCGAGCAATTAGATAAACAGATTAATAATTTAAGAACTTATTTTCAGGTACAGGCGGAGACATCTACTCTTCATCGCGCGATTTGCGCAGTAGATGACACAACACCGATCAACCTGAGGAAACAAGAAATGCGCATAAACCATCTTACTAAGAACGAAAAAATGCGTATCTGGATGGGTAAACCTCTGCACGGGCGACATCCGAATGAAGTCAGTCAAGACTATGTCGACAATATAGCGTCGAACTATTGGCTGACATCAGGAAAGATGTTCCCTGAAACAGAAGGTTCATTACTCGCCATTCAGGATCAGGTTATACCAACCAAAAATTACCTGAAATATATTGGCAAAGACCCTCAGGTCCAAAACGACAAATGCCGATATGGATGTCAAGCCCAAGAAACGATCCAACATTTTACCGGAGGCTGCCAGGCATATGCTGCAACTGAATATAAGGAACGGCATGACTCAGTAGGGAAGATCCTCCATCAAGAGATAGCTATTAAACTGGGACTTTACAAACAAACCATCTCCCATATTATCAATACGTTCCAGAGAGTATGCTTGAGAATGACAACCACAAGCTATACTGGGATCGTACTGTGCTCACAGACCAAACTGTAGCACATAATAGACCAGATCTCGTGCTAGTTAATAAACTAACAAGACAAACAACTCTAATGGATGTAGCGATACCTAACAAGAATAATCTGCGTGTTAAGTATAACGAAAAGATCGCCAAGTACAGAGATTTGGAAATACAAATAAGAAGACAATGGAGAATGGAAAGTACCCAGACGATACGGATTATTCTTTCTACCACTGGAGTCATTCCGAAGAACCTCCTAGAAAACATAAATAAAGCTGGGTCTAAATGAACATCTATATAAGGTCATGCAGAAAGCTGTGCTACTTTCGACGTCCAGATGCGTGCATAAATTTTTAGGAGATACACCGACGTACCAAGTCACCTAGGACTCGATAACATGGAAAGAGTCCCACCAGAGCTCAATCCTTTTGATACCGTAGGTATCTGGGATGAGTGAATTTTCCCCTTAGAGGGAGTGTGAGCTGTATGGCTATGCTAAAATGACTAAATGCGCATAAACCACCTGACTCAGCAAGAAAACATG